ATGAAGTGAAGGTATTTGGTTGTGGTGTTACATACAGTTAAGAGAAAGGAAAGTGTTCCTTCTGCTGGTAGAGGGGGGACAGAATTGGTATCCCAAATATTAAGCCACAAAAGTCTTATTTTAGTCTCAACAAGTCTCACCTGAGAGTCTTCTGAGACATTTGTCTTTTTCAGAATCTGCCCTGCAATGTTTGCAGCAGCAGGGATTTTCTGTGTGGTCAGCTGGTCTGGCATGGAGGTGAGCATCTGAGTGTCACTTGCAATAGCTGAAACATTGCTGGAGTCCACAGTTTCAACCAGTTAGGAAAATGCCGTTCAATAGAAAGAAAATGAGAAAAGGAAAAAGTGTCAACCCTTTTATAACATTCTTGCATAAAATCAAAATATACAAGTAATCGGTGGTCTAAATTGTTGCTGTTCACGTCAAGTATGTGGCATTTGCAAATTCTTCCTAGGGGATGATTTCATGGACTCACGGAGTAGCTTGGGTTGGAAGGGAACCCTGGAGGTCCCCTAGACCAGCAGGGCCAGCTGAGGCCAGGCTGTTCAGGGACTCACTTTGAATATCCACAACGTCCCTCAGAAACCTGCTTGAGATTGACAAGCATCAAGGGCAAAAATTTTCTCTTGACTATGGGGAATCTCCCATGCTGCCACTTGTCTCCATTGTCGCTCGTCCTAAAAATGCACATGTGCAAGAAGAGCCTGACCCCATCATTCTCCACACCTTGCCATGAGGTGACTGGAGACAGCGGCAGGACCATCCCTTTGTCTTGACGTCATTGAGCTTCTGAGTCTATAAACTCCTGTACACCTTTCACTATTCCTTAAATAACCAGAATGAGATTTTTTGAAAAGCCATAAGAGGAACTTGAGAAATGTCATCCGGAATAATCGTCCTTCTCAACACAGTGCTCATAACCTGCTTGGAGATGTCCTGGGTTCGGCTGGGATGGAGTTAATTTTCTTCCTATTCGCTAGCATAGTGATGTGTTTTGGATGTAGTACTAGAAGAAAGTTGAGAACACACGGACCATCCAGAATAATCGTCCTTCTCAACACAGTGCTCATAACCTACTTGGAGATGTCCTGGGTTCGGATGTGATGGAATTAATTTTCTTCCTAGTCACTAGATTAGTGATGTGTTTTGGATGTAGTACTAGAAGAATGTTGA